CATACTACTTCTGTGATTTGCACATAGATCGCGACTCAGTACCTATCGGCCAAGTGAAAGTAAGTAGCCATACAAACGATATCACTGTCGGTTGACGCAAAGACACTTATCGCTGGCTTACTCCATGCTTACTCTGACATGTTTTAGGTTTGTGTTAGTTTGTAGCATTTAAATGTCTAGAAATGATACTTATTCTTGCTTGATTTTATTCATTCTTGTTATATATGTATTGTCGAATTACTGTCTTTCTTAATTGATTTACTTGATTAAGCATTGTAATGTTAGTTAAAAGTTATGTGCATTTCAACATGTTTTACTAGTGTGTTTACCTCAACTTAACATTGAACTCTATGGCAAAGAAACGCACTTCCTGTTAATGTATGCCATTTCTAATTGATGATTACGTTATTGGTCAGTTAAGGGGGATTATCTTTCAGCCAATCATTGTCCTGGTACAGGATTAGGAAAGTTTATCTTTTGGATTACTGACCATGCCTTAAATAAGCCCCTTTTAGCACCTTGTGTTAGACTGGACCCAAGCAAGTGTCAGTATAGCTAGCTAGCTTAGCTAGTATACTAGCTTAGCTAGTTGTATAGTCTATGTAGTACTGTTCCAGTAATAAAGATATCCTGCTGTGAGTATCTCAAATAGTTAATTTGTCTTCAGTTCCTTATGACTTCATGGTTGTGATATATGATCTCACAAATCAGTGTTGACTACAAGGATCCCCCACAAGACTAGCTACGATCACGATCACACACTGTCTTACGTAACTGTTTATCTACCAAGATTTCTGTCACTAATGGTGATTTCCGTTCTTGTTCTAACGTTGCATGTCCCTGTATTTTCTAGTGTCTTTGGTTGACGTATACTCTTATTTATAACAAACAACAACATTACTTTGAGCACGGTTATTATTACAATGAAAATCATTTTGTAATTAAAATTGCTCTGGATGTTGTAAGATTAGAACAACTACTTTGTTTCAAAATATTATCGATTACTGTCAGATTTTGTCTACATGTGTCCCCACTTGTTTACACCTTGGAGGTAAAAAAAAAAAATTGTAATACACCTAAACCACAGTCCCTGTGCCTAAACTATAGACAAACATTTGCAGGCACTTGACATTACTTTTAAGGTAATCACTTGTTCTGATGCTACAACATTCAGAACAGTGTCATTGATCATGTTTTTACTGTAAATCCCACAAGATCCTCGCACTTTATTCAAATCCAAAGTATACGTAATGCTCCTTACCCATGAATCTTTGCAGGGTTTCTTCAATCATGAACGCAACAGATAGATTCCATTAAATTTGTTTGAACTGCTTGAAATTAGTGATTTGTTTGCTGAAATAAATTTAAAAGAATGTGAGTCAGAAATATTAACATTATTGCTTGGCACAGTACGTTAAATTGCGAATACAAGCCAGTGCAAAAGAAAGGTTAAATGGGAGAGAGCTCTATGTGGGCAGTATTCATTTGCAAAGAATTGTGTGAAATTGTTTTCAATCTTTATTTGAAATTCATAAATATTTTATATAAAACCAATTCACGCCTTTATAAAACCTTGTGTATATTTTACATAACAAATACAGATGTTTATATAATTGCTAAATCATTTTTTTGTTTACAGGTTTTTGAAAATTGTAATGATCTCAACCCAAACACATTATTTCCTTCTAAACAATAAAGTACATATGTTTTAATCAGTGCTGAGGAAATGTCATCGAATGAGGAACCGCAAGAAAATACTAGTGACGTTCTAACATCAGAATCCCAAATCAATGTACATGTTGCAACATTGGAAAAAATTGACATTGAACTTCCTGGGTATATACAATCAGACAAATTGGCGTTCTACATTGATAATGTATTCACAAAACAGGTATGTGAGAGTTCTCACCACAGTCGTACTTCATGTTCGTTATAGCGTCCATTGTTTGTTTACATGAAATTTAAGGACCTAGAACACTATGACTGTGATGCTTTAAGTATCATGTTTTGTCTCTTTCTGCATTTTTATTTCAATTTCTCCGTCAACCAAATTAGGTGACATGCAATTGTAGTAATGCTTAGATGACTGCAATACAGGTCTGTTTTGTAACAAACTTAGCTTGTTTTGTATTTTAATGAGCTTTTCAGGTGAGGTTTAATTAGTAATTATTTATAATTAATCAATCAATCAGTGCACTAGCTTTGGAAAATTAACAAAATAAAAGTAGTTTTCTTTAAGTATAACTACTCGGTTTGTTAATCTTATTTCTTCCAATTCTTTTCTTTATTTCTATGTTTTTGTGGGGTCCAAAAATTATAGTTTATATTTATTATTAAGATGTTTTGGTTCCATAATTGTGACTAATTTTTGCAATCTTAAAAAACTAGCAAAAATAATGCAGTTAAAATTTGTCAGACTGATTTGAATTCAATCACTTGAAATAATTTCTCTCTAAATTTTCTTCTATTTTGATTCAGAAATATGATATTGAATAGACTTATTGCTGTCTCCTCCAAACAGTTACACTTGTAGTGTGGGTTATAGAAGTTTTACTATTTCTATGACAACACAATAAATATGAATCACTTATTTTTTCAGGAGTGTGATGAGTTCATTAGAAAATCTGAAGAAATTGGTTTTACAATGGCTAAAATTAACATAGGCAGAGGCAGGTAATGGCTCTATTTATTTTTATGATATTCTAAAAAGCTTCCAGGCAGAACTTGTGAAATACTGGACATATTGCATGATGGGTAACTTAGCTCACATCGAGGTCACAACTCGATTAGCCTTGCTCAACAGGTTCGTAACCAGTCTTGTGATTGGTTGTTGACAAGTGCTAAACAGGCTGTTAATTATTCGTAAATGGAGTCAATTTGTGTAGTTTTCTTGATTTATTCTGCAGACATAGGTAAAATATGGGTAAGACCTTGGCGAAATTTGAAAGAACAACTAATATTCTTCAACCTGGTATTTTTTATAGATTTTATTTTTCATCCTGTTTGTCTGTTTTTTCGAGTTATGAAATATGAGCTGGCTGGAGCCTTCATCCCTTGTATATTTCTTACACTAGATACCAGCTGATAACAACCCCCCCCCCCATAGTTCCTGGGCTCCCTGTCATGTAATTGTGAAATTGTCATGTCATCCAGATTGATACAATCTGTTTCTCACCAACACAGCCCAAATGTTGATATGGTGATGGTTCCACGATTGACAGTTTGTGGGCCAATCACAGAATATGTTGCATCTCTCATCTCTGTATTTGAAAAAAAAAATATTGACTAAAAATATACCCTTTAATACTAGTGTATTCTATTAAAAATAGTAATCTACTCTACTAAAATGGTATCTGGCAGTGTTACATCAGAATGATAATGCCATGTTCACCTTTAACCCTTTGCCTGCTGAAAACCTTCACAGATAAATAAACGGGGGGGGGGGGGGGGG